TACATATATACAGGAGAAGATAGAAGCAATGTATTCATCTATTGCCAGATAACAATAACATGACAGTGAAGCAGAAGGCTGAGATTTTGTTTAGTATTCAGAATATATTATTTTAAATATTATTCACTTGTATTATCAGGTTACAGTGAAGTCTTCCTCTTCTATTTTTCCCTTGCAAGCTGAAATCTATCTGAAACCATTAGCTGTACTATGCTCTCTGTGAATGCTATAGACCCAGTCCTCTGGCTTTTAAAAGGACTACACTCTGCTGGTTTCACATTTCATTGTGGTAACTTAGATGTGGCCCAGATGCCATTGTAATAACTTGAATTTGAGATTTGTGTCTACAATCAGATAGTATAGTAAAGCACATTAGGAAGTACATTGTGTCTACCCCTAATTGCCTGTGTTTCATTAGGGCAAAATAACATTTTTAAGCCGTTAAAATTATTACTTTCTGGACTCATCTCTGAGAAATAATTGTCCTTTTTCTAGATATTCATACTCTAAAATTTTAAATTTTTTTCTTCATTATTTCATGTTGTATGTGCATGTGTATGTAAGTGCATATGTGTGTGAACAGACTAAGCTTTAATCCTTAGTTTTGGCAGTACTGAATTCTGAAAATTACAGTCAATAAGTTTTTACACTAGAACTCAGATATTGATGATGGTTCGACTTGGGGTATATAAACTTGAATGCTTCAGAACTGGAATCAGACCCGGATGGAATGATATTGTAGTGAATAGAACAGAGAATCACTTACTAAACAGTAATATTTCCTGGACCCCTCCTTATCTTAACTGAATCAGGATCTCTTAGAATAGGGCTTCAGATCCCAGGTAACTTTTTTAGTATGTTAAAGTTTGAGAACTTCAGATAGTGACTTTTAGGTATAAATTCTATCTTCTGTGTAATTTTCTTTGAATAGAATATATCAATTTTTTTCAGATTTGTAGGACTAAATACTAGTCTGATATAGAATTTGTTTTTATCACCAGTTGTTGATTTTCTCTGCAGTTGGAAAATACTGAGCTAGCACAGGAAGACAGAAAAGTAGCACATTATCAGAATAAGTAACAGCCAAGACAGTGATCTCTGGTATCAGAGGTTTCAGCTGTGACATGGAAAGTGAGACAGTCACCTGATACATTATTCATACTTAAGTAACAGTGTTATTTGAGATATTTTAAACTCTTTGAGGTCACAAAACAAAACATCTTTGCAGTAGTTTGACCAAATGGTAAAGTTATGCTCCTTGAAAAGAAATTAAAATAAGACATTGTATGTTCTCTTTCCATGATGAGGGGGTGTATCTTTAAGTTTGGGGTGTATTCTTTCATACCATTTCCCTGCTTGTGAATAAATACATATTTACATACATTCACTTACATGCTGGCATATTTTAAATATTGATATATACAGACAGATTGCCCCTCTTCTCTCAAAGGCTATAACAATTTATGTTCCCATGATTGTAGGATATTATAGCCTTTAATACTTTTATGAATAGGATAAGGAACACACTTTAATTATTAATGAGTTTGAACATCTGTTTTTTTTAACATTTATTTTCATTTCTTCTGATTTGCTTTCTAATTTCCTTTGCCTGTTTTAAAATTGGTTTGTTAGGTTTTGTTTTGTTTTAATTTATTGGAGTTCCTTATATAGTATGGATATTTACTCTTTTGTCTGCTATATGATGGAATAATGTTTACTTAGCTATTTCAATGATGTGATAATAATGAACATTTTGCATTGTATGGGAATTCTTCTGAGTCCTTTGTGTGTATTTTTTCTTTTAATCTTCACGGTTGTCATGTCTACGTTATGGATGAGGTGACCATGATCCAAGAAGGTTAAGTAAGTTGTTTGAACACGTGTGACTAAGTGGGAGAGTCAGGATTTGAATCTAAAAAGACTAGTTTTAAAACTGTTAACATTTAACCTTATACTTGATCTTATTTTTTTCATTGTAAATAACTGAAAATTAAAAATAAATTTTTTAAAGTTTTAAAGATATTCAGGGCACCTGGGTGACTCAGTCAGTTAAGCATTTGGCTCAGGTCATAGATCTCATGGTTCATGACATTGAGCCCCAGGAGCCCTATGGACTCTGCGCAGACAGCCTAGAGCCTGCTCGAGATTCTGTCTTTGCCCCTCTCTGCTCTTGCTTTTTTTTCCCTCTCTCAAAAATTAATAAACCTAAAAAAAATTTAATAAAAATAATCATTTAGAAATAGTGACACAAACATGTATATGTTTGTATATCTATATACACACTGGCATAGTTGGTAAATAGATGTAATACTATAATAATACAGATATTTTATAGACGTTTAGTGACATTTGTCTTATTTCCATTTAGAACTGACCTTCAGTAGCATTCTCCCATTCTTTTCTCTATTGATTACCATAATGATCTGTTAATCTTCATGTTGCTAATCATTTTGCTTTAATCTATCCTCAACAGTGTTTTTGGAATAATCATTTTAAGTATGGTTTTGATCATGTTTATTCCTTTGGAAACCTTTCAGTGGTATCACATTTCTTGCTTAATGAAAGCCAGGCTCTTTCTTACCTTGACATTTGAAGACTTACATAACTGTTTCACCCTTACCTTTCAGGAATTACCATGAGTGTTTTTTTTTTTCTGTTTAAAAAATTTAGTTTGCTTGCTGTGATGCAATATGTAGTATACTAATCTTTGAATCTAATGGTTCAAGTGCAGATTTCCATGACACTTTATCTTGTTTGCATGCAGTACTACATAATGCAAAGCACTGTCATTTCTAGAATTTCTGTATAGGTATGACCTAAGATGTGGCAGACTGATTGGAAAGGGGGTGAGGGATTCAAGCACATTTTTCTGAAGCAGAGTTTACATAACAAACAAAAGATTTTTCTTTCTTTAGATTGTGTATTGGGTTGATGGGAGATAGTGTGTAGGGGGCAGGACTAAAGTCCATCCCAGCCACCCTAGGGTACAGCCACTGGTGTTAGCTGCAAGCTTACAGTGTCTGGCAGACCCTCCTTACTGTGTGATATTGAGCAATATGCTTAACTTCTCTAAATGTTCACTTTCTCCCTTGAGCAGCCTTTCTTGACATTGCATACAGCAGATAAATGGGATAATTTGTTTTTTGGGAGTTAATATTCTTCTAGCTTTATACTTTAATCAGTTAGTGTTCTTAATCAGCAAAAGAAGTTTGCTGACCTGATTGAGCAGATGAATTTATTTAAGAGTGCCTGGTTCATAGAATTTGGGGTGGGGGGAGGCTGGAGAACCAGGCTTCAGGTTAAACTTATAGCTAATATGCCTCAAATCATTTCTGCGAACTGTCACTTCGCCAGCCCCACCAAGCACCAGTGCTGCCCAGTTGTTGCCCCTTTTGGGCTGGTGCTCCCATTGTGGAAGGCTGATGCCTCTGCTCTTGCCTACACCAGCCAAAAATGAAAGGTCCATCTAGAGCCCATTTTTTAATGTGATTCCCTTCCAGACTGAAATATTGTGTCGATGCTTCTGATGTCTGCATCGTAGTTGCAGAATATATTGGGAATTTGAGGTCTAAAATTAACTTAGGGAGATTCGACTTATAATAATGTGGGAATTTTCCTGAGTATAAAAGGATTCTGCAGAAGCTGATGAAAAGTTGAACATGATAAATGTTCACTATAATACTTTTGCTTGTATTCACTCATCTGTATTATTTTTTCTTCTTCATCTCCAAGTGAATAGATTTGTGTAAAGACCTATTGGAATTTAATTATTTGAATTAGTCTGCCTAGCTCTTTCTCATGTGAATTTTCTTATGATCTTTTTATCATTTCTTTTTGCATTATTTCTTTTAAACAATATCAATGCTAACAAGTAATACTAAATATGTTCTAGTATGTAATATGGAAAAATATAGAATAAACTCTGAAAGTTGCCTTTTTCCACTCACCTCTTCTCCCTTATACTTTCAATTGCTTTCCTCTTTTGAAGCGTCCTCTAATAAAATTATAATCTTTAATTTTAAGTTGACACATTTGATAATAATTTGGAACTTGATGGTAAGTTTATGGAATATAGAGGTCTTTATTTGTGCTTTGAGTTTCCATGGAGCCTACTAAAACTGTTACTTGTGTGTAGAACAATAATACAGGAAGATTTGACCTAAGGCAATAGCTGTGTAACCATTTTGGAAGTGAAGGCTTACAACTTAGGGATTTAGTGAATGTGCAGAGAAAGGTAGCCCTTTCAAGTAGACTCCAGGAGTTCTAGCTTGGGAATCATACCATTGATGATACCATTTAAGGGAAGACCGGAATGGAGGAATTACTCTGCATCTACAAATATATTGCTGGAATGCTTTCTGATTATGTTCCATTTATTTTGAGCAAGTGCATGTGACGGGGGGAGGTGCGAGGGAAGAGAGGGAATCCCAAGAAGACTCCCAGCCTCCAGTGCAGAGGCCGATACAGGGCTTGAACTCAAAAAGTACGAGATCATGACCTCAGCCGGAATCAGGAGTTGGACGTTTAACCGATTGAGGCACCCTACCCATATTTCTGATTGGAATTAGAGTTTGGGGAGGTGCTAGAATGTTTAAGTGTGGCATAGATTTCCACAGTTTAGGAAAGACCATGAAAAATACCATTTTCTAGTTATTTCTGAGGCTAGATGATGAATAAGACCTCTCAGTGAGGAGATGGATTTTTCTTTTAAAAAAGCCAAAAGAGTTAAATAAGGTCACTATAAACGTGTTTTCTAATCCTTTGTCATCTGTAAGTTGATGGTAAATGGGCATATATTCCATTGTGTATACATTTTTAGAAAATAGTATTTGAAATATGGTTTGTTTCAGATAAACATAATGATAACTCATTTTGCTAAAAGTGTCTCTGAAAAACTTGTGCTGGGAAACCATATTCAGATATTTGTTTTGGCATTTTGTATTTAGCCTCATTTCCCCCCTATTAATTATAACTAATTTGACATTCTTTTCTTCTTCCAGATCATTCAACTTCGAGTGGCACATTATCTTTTAAGCCTAGTCGGTCGTTGGTTACTCTTCCTACTGCCCACGTCATGCCATCTAACTCCAGCACTTCAGTTTCCAAACATAGTGAATCATTGACGTCAGACGGCTCAAAATGGAGTACAAGCCTCATGCAAGCATTGGGAGACCACAGTAGGGGAGAACAGGACTCTTCACTAGACATGAAGGACTTCCGGCCCCTCCGGAAATGGTCATCTTTATCCAGACTCACTGCCCCGGATAATTGCAGCCAGGGTGGCATTGTTCACACTGGAGAGTCCAGGAGTGGTTTGGAAAAGACAGGGAGAGGCAAGGTTTTAACATCACAACTAAGAACAATTGGGCCTAGCTGCTTACATGATAGTATGGAGATGCTTAAACTAGAAGACAAGGAAATAAATAAAAAACGATCGTCAACTCTGGACTGCAAATATAAATTTGAGAGCTGTAGCAAAGAGGACTTTAGAGCTTCTTCCTCCACCCTTAGGAGGCAGACCTTAGACATGACATACAGTGCCTTACCTGAAAGCAAGCCCATTACAACAAATGCAGAGGCTTTTGAACCTATGAAATATTTAATGCTTGGTCAGCAGGCAGTAGGTGGAGTTCCCATTCAGCCTTCTGTGAGGACACAGATGTGGCTTACGGAGCAGTTGCGGACAAACCCTTTGGAAAATAGAACTACAGAGGACACTTACAGTTTAGCTCCTTGGCAACAGCATCAAATTGAAGAATTTCGACAAGAAAATGAAACACCAATGCAGGTATGGCTCAGAGTTTAGAGTTTGCTTCCCTCCAGTGGATGTTATGAGCACAGTAGCACGCTTGCAGTAAGCACGTGACCGTGTGTCCACAGACACTGATGGTTTTGTTTTTCCTCCTGCTTACAAGTTACTAAGCATAAAACTCCCAAAATATTATTTGGATAAACAAAAGTTAAAAAATAGTTGAGGCTGATTAAGATGGAAAATTTAAAATCTTGTACCTAACTTAGTTTTTACTTCCCTTCGCATTTGTTAAGTAGGCGAAAAAATAAAGAAAAACATACTTAATTTAAAGAAGCTTGAAACAGAAATGGGGACTGGCACAGTATAATTGGAAGAACGTTAATTCTGGAGTATGAGGTCTTGGATTTTATTTCTGGTTCTGTCAGTTTCAGAACTTGGATAATTTTCTACCTGTCACTTAATACTTCATTTCTTTGGGCCTCAGTTTCTTTTCCCTTCTTTTTAAAATTTAGATATAATTGACATATTACATTAGTTTAAATCCTACATCGTAATGATCTGCTATATATGTTTTGTGACTTGATCACCGCAATAAGTCTAAGTCTGGTTAATGTCCCTCACTATGCATAGTTTCAATTTTTTTTCCTGCTTTTGAGAACTTGTTCTCTCTTAGCAACTTTCAAATATATAATACAGTATTATTAATTATAGTCCTCATGCTGTATATTATATATTACATTCTCATGACTTGTTTATTTTGTAACTGGAAATTTGTCTTTTGATTCTCTTCACCCATTTTGCCCACCCTCAGCCCGTGGCAACCACCAGTCAGTTCTCTGTATCTGTGGTTTTTCTAAGATTCTACATATAATTGAGATCATGTGATATTTGTCTTTGACGGACTTAATTCACTTAGCATAATGCCCTTAAGGTACATTCACGTCACAAATGGCAAGATCTAATTTTTTTAAATGACTCAGTAATATTGTGTTGTATATGTACCACATTTTCTTTATCCATTCAATCATCAGTGAGCACTTAAGGTTGCTTTCATGTCTTGGCTATCGAAATGAGAGCTGCAGTGGATGTGGGAGTGCATACATTTTTGGGGGTTAGTGTTTCCATTTCTTTCAGATAAATACCCAGAAGGGGAATTGCTGGATCATATGATAGCTCTATTTTTAATTTTTTGAGGAACCACCCACACTCTTTCCCATAGTGGCTGCATCAGTCTACATTCCCACCAGCACTACACAAGGATTCTCTTCTCTCCACACCTTTGCCAACACTTGTTAACTCTTGTCTTTTTGATAACCATTCTAACAGGTGTGAGGTGATACCTCATTGTGGTTTTGTTTTGTGTTTTAATTTTTTTAAATGTTTTATTTATTACCGAGAGAGAGAGAGACAGCATGAGCAGGGGAGGGCAGAGAGAGAGGGAGACACAGAATCTGAAACAGGCTCCAGGCTCTGAGCTAGCTGTCAGCACAGAGCCGGACGCGGGGCTCGAACCCACAAACCACGAGATCATGACCAGAGCCGAAGCTCAACCGACTGAGCTACCCAGGCGCCCTGCATTTACCTGATAGTGATGTTGAGCACCTTTTCATGTGTATAATCGCCATCTACATGTCTTCTCATTTCTTCATCTGTGAAATGAGAAAGTGGAAGTAAAGTTATTTATAAAATTTTGGTGGTATTTGAAATATATTTAGGTTTATAAAATAGAAGTGTGCTCATTTTAAAAAGATTAAGTTGGATATCAAGATTTATTAATCAGTTTGAGGAAAGTACTTTATAAAATATCACATACAAAGAAAACAGGTGTGTATCCCCTACAGTAACATGTAAATGTGTTTTCTATTCCAAGGTAATTTCCATAGCTCATTTTAACTGGGAAAGCAATTATCTGTAGAATTTTTTTGTGAATGCTATCATCCATTTTTTATTAACAGTATTTTCTGAGACCAGTTAATTCTATCAGAAATAGTAAACTTTCCCTAGAGAAAACATAAAAATATCTGTTCATTACGGCTACTAATAAAAAAATAATAAAGATTGAAGGAATATATTCTATGAAAAGATAAGGAGATCACTTAACTAGGAACCTCACAGATCTGAGAACAGTTCCAAAACAAAGACCCACCCTAATGTGCTACATTCACAGGAGAATCCTTAACATGTCCCATGTGCCTTCCTTACTCTTGTTTTGGGCAAGACTGCTTATAGTCTTGATTATGTATATTCAAACCACATACTCAAGCAAGCATTATTATAATGTCTGAACTACAAATCAGAAAAGAACAATTTAACTAGACTTGTGATTTATCAGTTCAAGATACTGAAAGATAGAAAATGCAATTTTTAAAAGACTTTTATTTTTTTAATTGAAAAAAAATTTTAATGTTTATTTTTGAGAGACAGAGAGACAGAGCACCAGGTGTGAGGGCCAGAGAGAGGGAAACAGAATCTGAAGCAGGCTTCAGGCTCTGAGCTGTCAGCACAGTGCCTAACTCAGAGCTTGAGCTCATGAACCATGATATCATGGTCTTAGCTGAAGTTGGATACGTAAGTGACTCAACCATCCAGGCGCCCCTGTTAATATTTTAGTTCTCAAATGCTTTGTGATTATCAGAGAACAGAGATCAACAGGGATCAGGCATATACTTCTCCAGCTGGAATTTTTGTACAGAATTGTTGTTGTCCAGGGGGTACTGAGTATTTCTCTTCCAACCTTTAGTAGGTTGTGATGACCTCACTTAAGTCAGTAGGCAACTGAGAAAATTGGATGAATTGAAAGCAGTAAGTACTAATTCACTCCTTTCATTCTGCTCAGAGAAACCTCTGCTGTAAACTAGTTTTTTTCCCAGAATCTTGAAGCAGTGCAGAGAGGCTAGGGAGCTTGCAGGTGCACTGCAGAGCCAGACTTCTTTTTAATTCTTCTCCCTAATACATGTAAAGGAAGAAGACTACAAAAGGACAAAAGTTGCATGCGCCCTGGAATGTCCTGAATTTTGGTTAACCATATTTGGGATGGTCTCTTTGTAGTGTTTTAAGTTTTGTAGTGGAAAGATGAAGCCAGGTAAAGAACACTTAGACACTTCATTCAGTTGCTGTGTTTAAATGATCACTTCTCTTATTCCCTTCTTGGAGTACTACAGAAAACAAGTCTTCAATGCCTTCTCCTTGGAGCCTCCAAGTGCTGTCTTTATTATAAAAGTTCTCATCTTAGATGTTTCTTAAAAAAATTGACTTCCTTTTAGTCTAATTTTTATATAAAGGGAAGAGCCATAATAAGGATTGGTCCATCTGATAAATTGTGAGAATGTGTATGATTTTCAAGCACAACTGCTTAAACACCCACCATGAAAAAACCCTCTTTTTACACCTAAGGAGAGGAATTTGGCCAAGGGTCACAATCTAATACCACCATAGATATATATAGAACTTTAGCTTATCTGATATTCACAGTTTATTTTCCTGCTTTTCTCCCTCAAGAGCTTACTATTGTAATGTGGAAGTTTTGCTTTTCTTAGGGATAATCATTGAGTCAGCCTCGCAATTTAATACTCCTGATGTTCTTTGCTTCCCATGATTTCCTGCTACATCAGCTAGAGTGCAGGTAGTGTGTAGTACTCTGAAACGTGTTCCTTTGTGAATGAAGAGAAGCCATCTGTGCCTTCGGGGGGTTAGAACACAGATCTCCAGGTGGAAACTGTCTTTGGGTCTTTTCTCTGTACTATGTTGTCCCTCTCCTGTTACCTTCCCCAAAATCTCTCTGACCCTACAAGGACCATAACAGAAGAGAGAAACAGACAACAAAATCTTGTCTTCTCTTTGGAAAGAATGTATCCCGTACTATGTCCCTCTTGTATTTCTTTTGTGGGGAGCAGGGGAATGGGTTGGGAATGGAAGGTGTATACCTCTGAACTACACAGTATCCATTGGATGCCTATAAGCTCACAGTGCATCTCTTAGGCAATAGTGAAGAAATGGTCTCTTCGTTGACAAAGTTGTTTATCCTTTTTTCTCTTATATTCCCTAGGATGTTTCTAAGTTCTGGGTTGCAATTATTAAAAAGAGGAAGATAAGATTTTCTGCCTAATTAAATCATGAAGGGGCTTGATCAGCCAAGATATTGACACCTAATAATTTCAACATTTTTTGCTGGAAAATTTATATAACTAAAAAATGTAAATAAAAATTTGATCAAATGACTTAAATTAAATGACTTGGTTTTTGTCTCACATGATAAGAGATTGCAAAGGGTTTTATTTTTTTTTAATGTGTATTATTATTATTATTTTATTTATATATTTTTTTTTGAGAGAGAGACAGAGACAGCACAAGTCGGGAAGGGGCAGAGAGAGAGGGAGACAGGATCCCAAGTAAGCTCTGTGTTGATAGTAGCGAGCCTGATGTGGGGCTCGAACTCAGGACAGGCGAGATCATGACCTGAGCTGAAGTTGGAGGCTTAACTGACTGAGCCACCCAGGCGCTTCTGAAAAAATTTTATTTTTAACAGGAGAGTGTTTTCTTATTTTTTTCTTATTTTTGTATTGTTTGTCTTTTATTTTTTGTTTGTTTTTACTGGTTAAAAAAAAATAACTGCGCATTGAAAGATGTGGACCCTATGATATTCTAAATAGTGAGGATGTGAGATTGTGATACATTCACTAGGTAGCTAAAAAGCATATAATTAGGTTTTGTATACATGCTATATAGTAAATTAGTAATGTGTTTGATCTTTCAACTTTTCAGCATAGAATTGACATATAATTTTATGCCTTTTAAAGTTGTGCTGTTACTTAGCAGCAGAGCAAATATTTTTTGAAAATTTATCATTTTACCACTTTGCCGGAAGTCTAAAAATAATCAAAAGGAAAAGTAAAAAATCTAGATAGTAAATTCATTATTTTATGTAAGTCTGCCCTCTTGTGGCTGAATGAGGAAATCTTGATCTTATTTTATTTGAGAAAAGTCACTGAAAACAACCTACAAAATCAAAACTGCTTATAATTAATATGGATGGACCTTGAGGGTGTTATGCTGAGCAAAATAAGTCAGGCAGAGAAGGACAGATACCATATGTTTGCACGTATAGGAGGATTAGGAGGAACTTAACTGAGGACCGCGGGGGGCGGGGGGGGGGGGAAGAAGGGGAAAAATAGTTGGGGAGAGGGAGGGAGGCAAACCACGAGAGACTCTTGAATGCTGAGAACAAACTGAGGACTGATGGGTGTGGGGGGGGTAGAGGGGAGATGGGCATGGAGGAGGGCACTTGTGGGGATGAGCACTGGGTGTTATATGGAAACCAACTTGACAATAAACTATTTGTAAAAAAAAAAACTGCTTATAATTAGATTGTTATCGATAAACTCATATCGATTATGAGTTTATTAAAGAGAGATTTCACTGAGTTCAGAAAAGTTCTTTTTATTGTAGGTCGTTTTCATTAAATAAACATTTTGAACCAACTAAAGTATAAAAGGCAACAGTAAACATTTAAAAATTAGTTCATTTTTAGTGCCCTGTAAATTAAGAGTAGAATTTATCCTACAAGAGAAAGAACATTAGATATTTAAACATTTTAAAATACATTGTTTTATTATGTCTTACTTTTTACATATCATGATAAACAGAATAAATAAGTTCCATTTAAAGAATAGGTTTTTGTTCTACATTATAATCTGAGTTACAGTGTTCTGTAATCTTCAAGAAAAAGGTTTTAATTTCTATTAAGGGCAGAATGAAAACAAAAAACTTATTTATTCCTATTTTACTTAAGAAAAACCCCGTAACTTCACATTTTATAGTTTGATGTTGATGTTATAGTGAACAATATAATGGAAGGCATACAATTTAGCATTTCAAATTTTCCACTTTTCTAAGATCAGTGCAGCTAATAATAGAACTTGGTTACTTTTTTCACAAGTAATTACTGACACCGGTGAGGTGAATGTATTGCTTGTTATTTATAAGCTTTTTAATTGATATTAGGGATTTTTCTCACCTATAGATGAGGCTTTGCTGAAGAAATCTCCCTGTCAGTATAAGATTCCTTTTTCTTCTTTTCTTAAATATCAGTGAACCAAAACTGTCTCCCTCCCCATCTCTAGAACCTCTCACATACCCACGAAAAAGCATTGTCTTCTTTACGATACTGTTAGTGGCACTTGTGCTACAAACCAGAGTTGGTATACTGACTTTTCAAATTCTTTTAGTAACCACATTTTGGAAGGTCAGTAAATTATGTGTCCTCTACTCTTTTAATAATTGCTGTATTAGTAATATTCTTGAATTGAAGTTAAAATTATTAGATTATGCAGTATAGGTATAAATTACTTTAGACCTAATTTTATTTAAAATATTTTTTTAATGTTTATTCATTTTTGAGAGTTAGAGACAGGGAGCTAGTAGGGGAGGGTCAGAGAGAGAGAAGGAGACACAGAATCTGAAGCAGGCTCCAGGCTCCGTGCTGTCAGCACAGAGCCCAATGTGGGGCTCGACCTCACTAACTGAGACCATTACCTGAGCCGAAGTTGTTCACTCAATCGACTGAGCCACCCAGGCACCCCATTTTAGGTCTAATTTTAAACTGAGTCAAGTTAAATTATGACATTTTGGTGAATATATTTTCCAACAATTTTTTTTACTTCCATTATGAGTTGGAAGGTATTTCTAAATGATCACAGGGGAAATTGAGAATGTATTCAGCAAGAAAATAATTATATATTAACATTGCTGGATTTATTTATAATTTAGCATGGTAGAATGGCCTACCAAATAGGTAGGTATTTACCATCTGGTTGATAGATTAAGGAAAATAGCTATATCCTGTTAATAAACAGTAAGACAAAAAGTTGATGTCAGAATGTGATCAAATAATTAATTTGGGGGAATCCAAATGCATTTTTTTAAATGCTTGAAATGATATACGTTTCTTTTATTCTTTTTTAAATTCTTTTCCTTGCCTACATTGAGTATGAGGTTAGAAGACAATTTATAAAATCATTCTAAAGTCTTAAGCTTTCATGATTCAAAAGACACAGTGTAGTAAGTTATGTATTCAGATGATCAACTACAGTGCCTTAAATTAAGTTAGATTCTAGTAGTGTATTAATAATTATGGCTAATTATACTATCTCCTGTTAAATTAACCTGTAGTTCTTGTCTGCTGATCATAATGTGCTAGAGAGGACAGATTTATTGTTTGCCTATGTATACTAGAAATTTTGTAATTCTTTGAAAGAATTAGTTAAGAGAAATTTTATTTATATACGAGTATGGCCTTGTTTTTTCATGCTTGTTTCTCATAAACCTTAAAAATGTTAGTGTAGTACAGAGAAAGAATACAATTTCTATTTTAAAATGTAGGTTTTGATAGTTACTACAAAGACTTCTGAATGATAATAACAAAGGTAATGGATGTGAGGAATCAGTAGGCTATTTCAAATGATGACACTTCATTTGAATATTTTGGTACAAACTTGGTGAAAACCTGAAAAATACTTAAACATTAAAGAGGCTTTTACAGTACAATATACATTTACCCCAAAAAGTGAAGCTAATGCTTTATAGGTGAAGTGAACTGGTTAGCAGTGCAGTTGCAAAACTAAACTTCTAGTTCATCCTCATAAGAAATTTGGGATAGAAACTTACAAGCTCTGTAGAGGAATTTGATAGTTACATTATACACACTTATAGTCATTTTGAAGTTAATTTTTGAAAATAAAGCTCTTTTCATGTTTACAAGATCCCACAGATGGATACATTTGGTAACAATTGTTTTGTTCTGAATCTTGACCTTTTCACAAAGAAATTCTTCTACTTAGGAAGTGGTCTGGTATGTAGTATTTCCCCCTCTTCATGGGATGACAGATTTTAAGTTGATGGTGACAAGTTGCATCACTGGGGATTGCAGCAGAACTTCAGAGAAGCATCACAATGATGCAGATCAACAAGAGACATATTAAAATGAGACAGAAATTTATAAATAGGTTCTGGAGATTTTGACGTGCTTGTTGAGGCATTTCAATGGTTGAAGCTCTTCTTATAGCAGAGCGAGTGAGGTATTGGACTTTCTCCATGACACCAGGAAGGCGGGGAGTCTGAAGTTGTAAATGGTGAAGAGAAAGGTAAAAAGCTGGCAGCCAGTTGTGAGCTCAATCCCTCTCTTCTGTTAGGTATCCTGGAATGTTAAAATAGTGAATGGATTAGGATCATGTGTGTAACGTATTCTCTGAACAGGTATAAACACAATTTTGTGATTAATTCATCGTCCTCATTGTTATTTGTATTTATGACATCAAATATGCATGTATTGATATGACATCAAACATGCATGTATGCACACACACGCACACATACGTGTTTCGCTGTGTCTCTCCCGAGTGTCTGTCTTTTTTGGTGAGGGTCACCGTGATGTCTCATTCGTTTTGTGTTTGGAGTGTTAATAACTTCAGTTTTTGCCGCCTTCTCTCAAAATGACTGGCAGTATAGGTAGGTTTAGGGCGCAGCTCATTTTCTACTATTCCCTTGAGCAAAAGTTCTCACATACAGTTTCATTAAGACTGTTTCTCTGCGACCATAATTGTGAACAATTAGTGCATTGATGGCTTCAGATAAAATCTCATAAACAGAAATGCATACAATAAATTATTTTCCAGATGTTGATTTTACTACAAGATAAAATAGTTAAATGAGAAGTCTTTTATCAGAACTATAGATTCAAATGTTTGTCGTTCCTTTTTATGATTTTATAGTTTTGTAGCATATGCTATTTTGAGTTACATTTTAACAAGACTTGATATTAAATACTGGAGACCTTCAGGCTCAGAAGGCATAGTAATAAAACTCTCATTATCTCACTGTGTACCACAGACAGTTCTTACTTAGAAATGGCCTGTACTCAAGAGCACTGGTTTCCATTTGCTTTTTTTCAGAGCTTCCATAAATTCTGCCTAATTAATTGATTAGTTTCTGCCTAAGTAATTGTAATTAATAAATGAGACAATATAAAACTTAATGCATTATTATAAAAAAATTAGAGATTAGAAACTGGAGATAATAGTTACAAAGATTTGGGGATATTTTATTGTCAGCATATTTCAATATAAATTTTGAAATAAGAACAATTTAGAAAATGAATAAAAAGTATAATCATAATCAACTGTCCAGAGACCATAGCCATTAACACTTGTTGTTATGTTGTTGTTGATCAAGATATTACCACCTTCTCCAGCTTCCAGATTTCATTTTCTCCCTAAACTCTATATATCATGTGAAAACCCAGCTCAACCAGTCATCTCCTTTTCTGAGAGAGACTAGTGCTAAAGAGAGCAGAGGGGAGAACTAAAAGAATGGGAGAGGGGAATATATATTTTAGGTATGATCAGGGAGGAGGCATTTAGTGTTACAGAGAAACCATGGGGTATATATATGTTTACATTATGTAGTTTTGGTACCTCACTTTGGCTCTTTTAGGTTTGAATTATATATTAGACGGGGCTTTCGTTTGGCTGGAGGCTCTGGCCTCCTTTCTGGTATTGGTCTGTAGTGAGGAGATCCAAACAACTTACTTCCATCAAACTTTATATATGTTTGTAGTATATATTCTTCGTTCTCTAACACCAGTGGCTGTTAATTTATAACACCCTCTACTTAGTAGATAGCGACTTAAATATGTTTATTTAATTTAATTACTTTTGTTTGAATTCCTCAGATTAAATATTTTAGGAATCAAGGCTTTAAGAAGATGCATTTTAAAGTTTTTTTCTGCTTATATTTATTTGCGTGTTATAGATAACAGTGAATTTATACTATTCAGTATTTGTGGGGAGGATCCCATGATTCATTCTTTTATTTGACTAGTCTATAAGAAGATATATAACAGTATATATAGTTAAGAAAGGAATAAGAACTAGCATTGGTCATTCCTATTTGAACTTACATTTTTGTGAAGTTTCATAACTTAAATGGTCTAAAAGTTTTGAATTTAAATTATTTTGAGATAAAACATGGACAAGGAAGAAGCTGTCTTGTTGTTCATCATGAAATGTATATACAAGAGTCATTCCCTACCCTGACACTTTGATGAGTGGTGGTTCAGTCACATGAAACATGTCACCTTTCCATAAATACTTCATTGCCTTTTTTGATTCTGTCTTTTGCACATGTTGTTCTGGCTCTGCCTGGAATGTCTCCCCTCCACCCCCTGCTCTACCTTTGATTCTTTGCCAGGCAAACTTCAGTTGATCCTTAAGGCCCAGTTTAAATATCACTTCCTAATGAAACTTTCCATTACTCATTAAGGTAAAATTGGTTATCACCTCTGCTGGTTTTCAGTTGGGTTTTAATGTTAACCTGTTTCAGGAGTGCTATAATTTTTATTTACATGTCCTTGCCCACAAGTAGACTTCTAGTTCACGAGTATAGGGAACCACATGTTTATTTTGTATTCTAGTATGCAGTGCGTGATTGTTAGTATTTGAATAAATCAATGAAGTTGATCAAGGGATTCTTACGGCTTACTTTACTATTTCCAGAAGATTGTTAGTTTTCTAGTGCTATGGCTAACAGATTAACCAGTTAGAATAACAGAATTTGATAGTTGAACACATAATCTCCTCTATTCCTCTCAAGTCTCTATTACATATGAAGGAAATGAAGCTCAGAGGATTACAGTTTATAAATTGTTGTTAATATTAACAACATTAACCTGAACGAGGCTTTGTTCAGATGGGTATTTGGTGTTTGTGAAATATGAAGAGGTAGTCCTAGGAAGATGAACTCTGCTGATGAAAGTATGACGAATACACTTTAAAGATGATGTCATGGTACTTCAGCAGGCAACTGTGTTCCTGGAAACAAATTGAGTGTAAAGGCAACAATGAAAAATAGTGTCGTTTCTTGTCAAACTTAGAAATACGTTATTATTCTAAACTGATTTGTAGCCACTTAGGATCTTATGCTAAAGCCAAAACCAAATATGCTTTATATACTGAAATGTTAGTTGTATGCCTTCAGTTTATTGGGCCCAATTTAGTTTACAGTGCACAATCTGAAATGTGTTGAGTCCTGATTCTACTGAACTTCCAAAATCTGTATGATAATAATTAAGAATTCACCCATACAGGAAGATGGGTCTTCGTGTCATACGTTGAGAATTGAAAAGCTGTGTGTGGGAACACAACAGTGCTGTCTTTGGAGTTGTCTGTGACCTTCACTGCATTATAATTTATGACATAGTTGTCAGGAGTTTACCATTCTTTTCTCTGCACTCACAACATCCTATGAGTTTAGAACTCCTACAGTCTTTTCCCCCCTCCATTCTGTAGAGGCATCCTGGTAATAAAGTAATACTTGATGGAAGGCCTAGAAAAAGTAGTTTCACTTAATTTTCATTTTATCTGATGATATTAGAGCATTCTTTTAGAATAATCAGAAAGAGGTTGTATTGGGAAGTTCTGAACTTGCATCTGGCACCAGTAGCAATGGAGATAGACATTAGTCCTCCCCTTTTTAAATTTTTTTTTTTTTAATGTTTTATTTATTTCTGAGAGAGAGAGAGAGACAGCGTGAGCAGGGGAGGGTCAGAGAGAGAGGGAGTCACAGATTGAAACAGGCTCCAGGCTCTGAGCTGGCAGTCAGCACAGAGCCCGACGCGGGGCCTGAACCCACGAACCGCGAGATCATGACCTAAACGAAAGTCGGACGCTTAACCAACTAAGCCACCCAGGCACCCCCCTGCTCCCCTTTATAAAAGAAATGTGTGGATTAGTTGTTTGGTACAGGAGGAGTAGGATACTTTAAATGTTAATTCATCACCCAGGCCTTAGAATCAGAATATTCAAACTATGAAACACCCTTTGATAGGAGTCTGGTTGTAGAAATGCCAGGTCCCTGTCTCTTCAGTTACAAGAGGCAGAAGATTACCCACAGAGTATGTTGTTGTATGTATGTGGAATCTATTCTAATTTTGGGAGGAATGGGAAGACTAACTCTACTATTCTTTGTAGGATTTATGAAGTTTTTGGTTGTCTACTTTTACTCATTAGCTCAAACAAGTGAAATTGGGAAGTAAATACTGTCAAGTTCAAGATAATACTCTGTTTCTTTGAAGTGGAAAAAGGAGAGACAAACCACAGGGGATGCTAATCTTTCAACTAATATGCCATGGTATGCAACATTTTGGATGGAAGGTACTGTATCCGCTTCTGCAGGGATCCTCACTTTGTAGTGTTTCCTATTAATATATGAGATACAGTCTTGTGCAAAACAATCCTTAGTCTCAGTAGACTTTGGAAAACTTTTGGTTGTCTGCCTTATGACTTGCTAGGACATTGAAGCCTTAACAGTGCTGCGTATGGTAAGCAGTCATCATCACCTATAATTTAAGCACTTGCAGTGCTTTGCATAACTTTCTGAACTTCAGTTTTTTGGGGGTGCTTTCTCTGCTAAAACTATAAATTCTTGAGATTCTTTATATTTGTGGAATTCAAAATTTTGCTCCCTTTTTGACTGCTTATTCGTTCTTTTAGTAAATCTGGGCATATTTTCCAAGTAAATTCAAGTATTGCAATACTACAATTCAACAGATACTTTTAAAGAATTTTTTTCCATGTAATTGGTTCAGAAGATTAGACCTATCTATATTAAGATTATTTTGGGGTTTTATTTTGTCCTACTAGTTGCTGTCATTTTCACAGGTAATCTGGAAGTGATTGTGTATGCATATTTTTGACTTGTTGAATGAAATCAGGACAGTTCATCATTAGATTTGTAATTTGTTGGCATCCAGAAGTTCACTTTGGTAGAATAGTTTTCCTTTTGAGATTGCCTAACTTGGAGGTTCTATTTGAAGTTACTTTGTGGCAGCAGTATTCCACAACTTTGTTGATCCACACTGGCTATCTGAAATAATCTTCTGGCTGCTTCTGCCTATTTATGAAAAGAATTGTGTAAATATAAAAATCAGTATGTTCTCAACCTCTAAATTGACCCCATAATGACATTATCACTATAAAGCTCTGCTGCCTTGAGGAAAATACTTTAGACAACAGCATAGAGAGATTTTCTCTTTGATATTGTCACATTGCTGTTGCTATTTTGTCTGTAGGCTGTCCTTTTATGTTTATTATGTTTAATTTATTCACAGTTAAACTGTTCTTTTTAACCCTGTAGTAGTTGAGACTTCAGATTCTTCTCTTGGAGGGTAAAGATGCATTAAGGGAATGTAGGGGGAAGTTTTAAGGAAAAATGAATGCCAGTTAAATACACCCCCACTAATCTAAATGAATTGATTGGTCTTTTTTTTTTTAAGCCCTTAAGGTGGAGTACATTTAAAAAAGCACTAGAGGTCCTCAGTTGATCGTGAATATACTTGAGTGGCGATGTAGGCCCAGACTTCATTTTCACATATTTATTTGGTAATATATGCTCCAGAATTATGTAGGGTAAGAATATTGAAGTAAAATATCTAGAAATGTTCAAAGAGACTATGTAATATCTGATTTAGGTAATTGTAATTTAGATAGATTATTTCCTTGATTTTTAACCTTTATGTTTATTCCTTTGCTGCTCTGACCAGCAGTGTTGATTCACTGTTTAGATGAAAGTTAGTCATTTTCATAGCCTAAATAACCAGGCAAGATCCCTCTGTTCAAGCACTTCACAATAAGAGGGGTGGAATACTTTAAATGGTAGAATGTGAGGAGGTCAGAAATGAAATTGAAGAAAGATAAGGATTTAATATTGAAACTGGAATATAGTACAGAATTGTGGTTTTTGTGAAAAGCTTTGAGAAATTATAACTTAGTTTTTAGGTGTATAGGCTAAATTGATTAAAAGAATCTTTAATCTATTTAAATTTTTTTTTTTTTTTTTTTTTAGGAATGAAACAAATTAAATACAAGGAAGCATTGATTGATTATAGCATGTTATATTGTTTTTAAAGCCTGTGGAGTTATTTTGAATTTTGCCTTCCATGGTTTATTGCCTAATAACACGGATATCTATAACTTTCTAATATCCCTAGCTTTAACAGTGATTAGGAGGATGTTATATAGGTTTTTAAGGATATAATGCCCCATGTGTAAATTAGCTTTAAATGAAATGGAGCGGTTTCAAATTGAAATAGAAGCTTGTGTCCTCTCACTTTACAATTTAGAGTACCATTAACAGTATTTGAAGACTTTAAGTTTAGGGGTGCCTGGCTGGCTCATGATCTCATGGATCGTGGGTTCGAGCCCTGCATCGGGCTCTGTGCTGACAGCTAGCTCAGAGCCTGGAGCCTGTTTCGAAATCTGTGTCTCCCTCTCCCTCTGACCCTTCCCTGTTCATGCTGTCTCAAAGAAATGGATAAAACATTAAAAAAAATAAAAAGTGAAGACTTTTTATTTTGCTTTGCCAATGCCATGATGTATTTTTAAGCCTTGTTGATCAGTGGATGTGATGTGCATGTGGTTTAGAGTTCTAAAATTTTGGCTCCTGCCAAAGTACCACCATTTCCTAGCTCTGTGACCTTGTGATTCACCTTTTGCATCTGTTTCCTAATTTGTAAAATAGAGATGCAGCACCGAAACATATGGGGAGTTAAAAGGATCAAATGAAATATTTGTATACAGCAGTACATTTAGATGTTTGTTCAAGAGTAAAGAAAGAAGTTTTAATTGGACCCTCTTTATTTCCAGGATTAGTAATAAATATACAGTCTAACCTAGAGAGTTAATCTAATCTTTACATTTTTTACTTAAAAACTTAATGTATTAAATAATTTAATACATTACATAATATGTTTAATATGTTGAAATGTTTATTTTTATACAATTTTTTATACAAATATTTTGTTTATACAGATGGTCTGTCTCCAGTTAGATTAAGAAATAATGTATAGAAGTATATAACCAAATGTACCTTTTTCCTGGAATATTATTTTCCTTTATGTCCACTAAAATTCTGTCACAATAATTTTGATATTTGCGTTTTAGGAAATCATAGTGACTAACTTCTTAGTAAAGCAAGTTACTTTAACTTTTTCACATTTTTAAAACATTTTTCATAATTTAAACATCCTTTGTATTTCTTCTATCTTATTCCATGTGATACTTTTATTTTTAGAACTTAGTTTTAAAACTCCTGTCTTTATCAATAAAGACAGTACTTAAATTTCACCTTATGATAGAGATAAATTAATTGGGACAAAATGTCTGGCAGTTAGGCATTTATGTTTGAAATTTGAACAACAGTCACAGTAACAGTGTGATTTCTATTAACCTGTACACATTTTTAATCTAAGGGTAGCGTTAATAGCAGAATTTGTGCTCTTTCTAGAAATTATTAACTTTTTGGAGTAATATGTGGTGAAATTCTGGTACCAGAAAAGAGCTCATAAATATCTCATTTGAAGTGTGAGAATGTAATTTGATAGGTATTTGAATAAAACTGCATAGAAATATATATAACATCAGCACCAAGTGACTTTTATGTGATACCAAAGGAAAAACATTTATGAGTATAAAGATAATAAGAGATAATTAGTGTATCTCAGTGGTAGATTTTGCATGTCTTAAGGACAACTGTTTGTGGAATTACAAGTTCTTTTCTGTAAAAAGCAATAGAGTTAATATTTGTCATAAGAACTTAGAATTCTAGAGGTAAATTTTATTTTGTGGCATACATATGAAAATAAAAGTGAGATAAAATTAATTTAATACTCCTTGTGTCCTGGCAGAGACTTAAAGTTTTTATGTATTAAACTGAGGAATGTAATATCAAGAGTAAGTGGAATTCAAATAGAAATCATAAAATTTATTGTATCATCTTAATTTCTGGGCCTTTTTAAAATTTCTTTCTCCCTTGTCATTCCCCTTCTAATTGCAGGGGAGAATAATGAGAAATCATGGAGGATGGTAACTTGCTAACAGTATATTCATTATAAATAGGCAGCATAAACATTTTATCAAATTAACTCAAATGACATATTTAGGAATGTTCTACCAAAGTAATGTTTCTTTACTTTTAAAAAGTGCTAAATTAGTATTCTCTAATTTTACATGTGTTTTTGATGGGTGTTTCAAATTTTCCAAACTTGTTTTTATGATATAATACTGGATTTCATGTAAGTAACCGAATTTATTAAATCTTGGAATTCTTTTTAGAAGTGTTAAAAGTTTAGTGGACTTTATAGAGAGGGGAAAAGTGCTTAAATGCATTTTAGAAGTAGTTTGTTTTATATTTTTTGAAACTCTATTAAATATTTACCCTAAGGAATCATAATATTGAAATAGTCATGCCAGCAATATCCATGTTTTACAGTCATGCGACTGTTCATACTATCACAGATGCAAACAGAAGCCCAGTTCTATCCTGTTTTTCAGCACAGTAACATAAGATGAAGTCATTGTTTTTGCTTGAAGAAGTAAAATATCCACTACCACCATATAGGGTATCATAATTGAAAGATATTTTAATTGGCAGAAATTCATTTTTGAAAAGCAGAATAAAAATGAGAGTCAAAGTAAAATGATAATCCAATAACCAGGGTCAAAGATGATGCAACCCTTATTATTTAAAGTTAAATCTTGTTCTTACTGTTGCTGAACAGATATACATTTATTTAGAAATTAAGGTTTTTGTCATATTAAACATTTTATTTAACTTTGAATTTCAATATAAATTTGAAAAAGTTCAGTAATTTTGAATTATAGAAAGCAAGAATGACCAAAATCAATGAAATCTGTTTCTTACCTTGGCTGTTTTGATGATCACAGTATAGAATATTGTGAGTTGTATGAAGTCTTATCGGTGTTCAGTTAGAAAGTTTTCTGACTCTGTTACCAGACTTATGGGAACAATTGAAGTAGGTGTAGGAGGAAAAGTATTCTAGGGAGGTCTTTATGATGTCACACAAGAATTCTGAAGTTATGATTGGTTAGCCATAGTCTTATCACAACCAAACATTTTAGAATGTCATTTATCTTACTTTAGGTGTGGAAAGGTCATTAACACTTTCTGCCACATTTTTTGCTTGTAGTTTAAAAAAGTATACAGGAGATAAATGAAACAAAACAAAACAAATAAACCCCTAGGTTTTCAGTTGTATAAAGCTCCCTTTATAGATTCTTGAATCTTTAGGCTTAGAAATAATTGTGTACTAAGGGTAATAATGTTGAAGAACTAAAAAAGATATCTAGGAATTTTAATGAGCAAGAATATTACTAGCTTAAGTCAAACAAACTTTCATTGTGGTGGTGTTGCTATTGCGCTAATACTATAGTTTCATAATGTTAGGTCCTAATAATACAGTGATTACATATTTTCACAGGATGAAATTTTATGCCTTTTACTATCTTGTTCTCTTTCTTCCTACCACTGTGTATATATGGGATGGAGTGTGTGTGAGAAACCCAGACTACTAACTGATTTCAGTTTAAAAAATTAGCTTTATCATATAAAGTAAGAATTAATACATGTATTTAATCTGTTTTCTTCAGTTAGAGCTTTCACAGTATATTTATGAACAATAATTATCATATTTAAACTGATGTATATTACCCCAAGAAAAGTTACAATTTACAGATTTCAGAATTTAAGATCTTTTAACAGCTGCATTTAACTACCATAAAATATTATTAAATTTTAATAAGCGGAGGCAGTATCAAGAGTAACTTTCTAGTAAAACTGAAATAATCATAGATTCCCAATCAGTGGCATCCTAGTTAATGATACTTTATTGAAAATAGATGTGCATTTTGTTAGACATTTGGGTTGTGTAGTTTTTCTGAAAGGAAGGAATGCCTCATTTAATGCAGGAATTATTTTCATGAAAATTACTATACAAATAAAATTATAGTAAATGGAATGATATATGAACTTCCTAGGACAGTTTATCTAAGAATAGAACTGGGAAATAATTCTTTTGAAAAGCTATACATCATTTTCCTGTTCGCTTAAATTTTTGCTTATATCACATATTAGATTTACTTAAATCACCACACCTGCAAGTTCCAGTTTTTAAATCTCTTCTGTAACTCTGGAGGAGTTATCTGTTAATTTTTTTTTAATATATATTTATAGCAGAGTGAACTCAGCCTGCTTCACTTTCTTATGGGTAACTAAAATGTGTTGCAGCAGCTGCATATGTGTCCTTAAATGGAGATGGTTTTGGCTTCTTCCAAAGAAAGATAAAATCCTTCTGTAGAGCAGATCTCTTGTTATTTAGGGAATCAGCTAAAACTAATAGAAAAATAATATTTCGAAAGACCCTCTGTTGAGCATTGCTAAGGGAGAATTTACAACTTAAAAATAAAACTCAAAATTAGAGAAATTGCATGACTAATGTTTGACATTTTGCTCAAAATGCTATGAGCATTTTTTTCTTTCAGTCCTTGTGTATTAAGGATCTCTTATTAATATCATCAATTGCCAGTGATAACTGAAATACAAAACCTAGGTTTGAAATACAAGCCTAAAGGGGTTTATAGTAGTTTGTCACAGATGACAATGCTGTTAAGGAACAGATTGAGGATTCAAATCTGGATTCGTTTAGTTATAATTCCTTGATAGATGGGTATGTTGGAAGGACGGAATCATAATTTGAATATAGATTCACAGAGTAGTATACATCAACTAAGAAATTTTAAGATGGTGATAGGTGAATTATTGAAAACTGTTACTGTTTTTAAAAGTCTGCTTTAAGCTTGTCTGCCAGTTATGCATTCGTTTGAAAATGAAGCTTAGGGGATAGATCATTATAGTATGAGCACTTCTAAGAAAATACAGTTAGTAATACTTAGATAAACATGTTGGCAGATTTGCTTAAAAAGCATACATAGGCAGGCACACACACCCAACTTAGAAGGAATGGGAACTATTTGTGTCATAGTTGGAAAGTGGAGACAAAAACTTACTTTTTAGATTTGTACATAGGTGTGGAGCTTCTGGGTTTACTCTTTTCCTTTTGGTTAGCTACTGTTGCTGCTTGTTATTAGTCCAAATGCAGCTCTAGAAAGTGTTACCCTTGACTTGTAGCTTGATTGCTGAAATAAAAAGTTGTTTATACAAGGAGCATTGGTGAACTACAGTATAATCAGTAGAGTGTTCCTCAGAATTCCACAACTAGGGGCTGGGAAAATGTTTTCCAGGTGCTTTTTCAGAGTTTTCATTTGGAGTCAGACTATAGTTTAAATCCATTTCTGGTCACATGACTTACACCAGTAACTTCTCTAAGCTGTCTTATCTTTGGAAAGGATTTGTTGTGAGAATTTAGTAAGATGAAGCATATGTCCTGACTATTAGAGATCCTGCAATAGAGTGTGCATTTAGTGTTATGTTACAGTTGACCATTGAACACAGGGAGCAGGTCCAGGGGAGGAAGGGGTGCCAACTCTCTCTCACACATAGTTGAAAATTCACGGATAACTTTTGACTCCACCAAAACTTAACTACTAATAGCCTACTGTTGACTAGAGACCTTATCAATAATATAAACAGAACACATACTTTTGAAAAAAAAATTTATGTCTTTATTTTGAGAGAGAGACAGAGTGTGGGCAGGAGGAGGGGCAGAGTGGGAGGGAGACACAGAATCTGAAGCCGACTCCAGGCTCTGAGCTCTCAGCACAGAGCCTCATGTGGGGCTCCAACTCACGAATCAGGAGATCATGACCTGAGCTGAAGTCAGATGCTTAACCTGCTGAGCCACTCAGGTGCCCCAGAACACATATTTTGTACATGTATTATATACTGTATTTTTTTTTTTAAAGAAAGTAAGCTAGAGAAGAGAAAATGTTAATAAAATCATAAGGGAAATACATTACTTGCATATATTTATTTTTAAAAAATCCACACTTAAGTGGACCTGTACAGTTCAAACTGTGTTGTTCAAGGGTCCGCTGTTCTTATTTTCTCTTTTCCTTTAGAAGATGATTCTTGGGTAGCTAAGTAGGTTAAGCAAGTTTTGATTTCAGCACAGTCATGCATGATCTCACGGTTCGTGGGATTGAGTCCCACGTTGGGCTCTATGCTGACAGGGCAGAGCCTGCTTGGGATTCTTTCTCCGTCTCTTTCTGTCCCTCCTCCACCTGTGCCAGCTGTCCCTCTCTACAAATAAGTAAATAAATATTTAAAAGACTTTTAAGAAGATGTTTCTTAACCTGCAGTCCAGGGATAGAATTCAATGGTCTTGAACTTGGATAGGAAAAAATTACATCTTTAGTTTTACTAAACTCCAAATGAGATTTAGCGTATCTCCAGTTCTGACTGTAGACTACAGACTGCAGAAGGATTAGCCATGCATTTGACTGTCACTATAGGATTCTCGGGTAATTTCATGTATTTGTTTTCAGAAAGCTTAAAGTACTGCTTACATTCATCACAGAAATTACCACAATTAGGCTTGCCTGGAAATATTGTTATTTATTGCATTAATAAAGAAGCACAAATATTACATCACAAATTTGCTTTTTAAAAATAATTTTTCACTGTAAGTCATTTCCTTTCTAATCCTATGCATCTTATTTGTTTTTTAAAGAAAGTTTTATTTTAACACAGTTTTAACTGTACAGAATTATTACACATATGGTACAGAGAGTTCCTGTATACTTCACAACTGATTTCCCCTGTTGTTAACATCCTATATTAGTATGCTACATTTGTCATAACAGTTGCAACAGTATTTTAACTAAAGCCCATACTTTATTGAGATTTCCTCAGCTTTCTCTAGTGTCCTGTTTCTTTTCCAGGACCCTATCCAGAACACTAGGTTACATTTACTAGTCATGGTTCCTTTGGTTTCATTGGTTTTGACAATTTCTGAGACTTTGCTTTTTTTGGATTACCCTGACCATTTTGAAGAGTGCTGGTCAGATATTTTGTGAAATGTTCCCCAGTTGGGACATGTCTGATGTTTCTCTCATGGTTAGACTGGTTAATGTGTTTTTGAGAGGAAAACCAGAGAGGTAAAGTACCATTTTCATCACATATCAAGAGTACGTACTATCAACATGACTTTACTCTTGCTGACCTTGATCACCTTGCTGAAGTGTGGGGTCCATCATCATTCTCTGTTAAAAACTTACTCCCCACCCCTTCCTTACCATGTTCTTTAGAAGAAAATAACTATGCACCGCCCACACTTGGGCTTCACTGTCTTAGGAATGATGTGCCTATAAAATTATTTGGAATCCTATGTATTTGATGGGTATAGAAACATTCCAAGAACAGGTTAGTAGGCTTCGGCACTCTGCCATAAAAAGTCAGTGGCACACAAAAAGTTAAGAATTCCTGTGTGTCTGTAGTTTGTATGGGCGGCCACTTTTGAAACAGGAGGACTGAGTTTTCAAACAAGCTGAAATCCAGACCTCTTAGTTTGTTTTTTTAGGCTCTGTCTTTCTAGCTTTGTCTCTTATCACCTTCCTTTGTATCCTGTGCTCTGACCCTGTGCTGTGGCCCTCTCAACAGTCCATTGTTCTATTTTAAGCCTCCCTCCTTACCAACCTTTATTCTTAGCAAAGGGTTGTTTCAGTTTACATCAGTGCAGCCCTCCCTGCTTTGTGCCAATTTTGCATGTTTCTCTACTGTCTCTTTTTATTGTGTTTGTTAGTGGTATCTGCCTAGACTTGAGCCTGTAGGCTCCTTGAGAAGCTGATCCAATAACTCATATTTATACCACTACTTACTCTCTACGGTACTGTTACCTAGTATAGAGCCTGGCTCATTGTAACTCTTAAATACTGATTGAATGATTGGACAAGTGAATTAAAAAAACAGGAAAGATTGCAAAGTGGTAGTGAATGAGTAATTCTGAAGAAGGAAATGTTAAGGACAATCTAAAAACCCTTCACAATTTCAAAGCTCACTGTGGGGGAGGAGGAGAAGG